ATATTAAATTTAGAGCACAAATGACATAGTAGTTGACTTGAATTTTTTTGATTGGTGTGATGTCATTTGGGCTCCAATAAAAATTTCAAAATAATCTACTGCCATGTCATTTGCCTCCAAATTTGATCCCAAAATTTAGTGAATGTAGCATTATTCAAATTATTTTTATTCCTTTATCTCGAACTTCTCTATTCTCTCTCTCCCTTAATGTCTCAAATCAAAGAGGCCGTAGAGAAACTATTTTTATTCCTTTATTTCGGGGTTCTCTATTCTCTCTCTAACTTGTTGCGAGTAAAAAAGTGGGGATGTGTCCCAATTGCACACTCTTTTTATTCTACGAACCCTTGTTAATTATAAACTTTGTTCGCTAGAGCATAATCTTTAGCAATTGTTGATTTCTTTGAACCGGAATTATAGAGTTCACTAATTTAATATAGCTCATTTTTCCCTTTTTACTGGTCATGGAGGAACATTTATCTCTTGGTGGTCAAACAATTTACATAAAAAGTAACTACTAGAAGTTATGGTGGAATTTTTATGATAAAAAAAATTGTTTATTTCAAAACCTTTTAGTTGGGACCCAATTGAGAAATTAATCTAAGTAACAGTGTCAATATATTATCACTATCACTAACACAAGGGAAACGAAATGATACAAAGTGATCATCGCCTCTAAGTGTGTATTATAAGAACAACTCTTAATTCACATAGAATATATGAGTAAATTCAAGAATATGTTGATTAAATTGATTAACCGAATAGAATCATAATATATAGGACAATTTCTAGAAAAAAATTAAAACCCTAAGATTTTTAAAGAAAAAAAAAAGCATCTAATAGTATTATAGAAAAATCAACATGATTTAAGCAACAAATCAATCTAGAATATCCTTAGTATCCTAAACAATAAAAATAAAAGAGAAAAATTTCAGTCACACCATTCTTATTTTATCATATATTCAATGATACCCCACTCTATCACTAAATTGTCCATGATATATTTTAAGAAAAACTTTTTCCACACTCTCTCAAGATAGACATATCTTCAATGAGACCCTTTTTATTATTAAAATTTTTGTATGTATTAAAATTCGGGCTGATCAAAATTTGATTTATAGTTAATTAAAATTTATTTTATATATATTAAAATTTAAGTTGATTAAAAATTATATTTTTTTACGTATTAAAATTTGAGTTGATTAAAATTCTATTAAAGGTCCAAATCAAATTTTAATTAACTTGCATTAAATTTTAATTGTTTCGATTTTTTATAATAAAAAAAAATATAAATTTTAATATGTAAAAAATAAATTTTAATCAAGTTGAATCGAGTTTTAATAAATAAAAAAATATGAATTTTAATAGGGACTAACAGGTCAAGTAGAGCTCAAATTAGCTCGAATTTTAGCACGTAAATGACTTTTAATAGGCTCAAATTTTATTACATAAAAAAATATAATTTAATCAACTCGCATCAAATTTTAATCAACTCAAATTTTAACATGTAAAAAAAAAAATTTAATCAGCTCGAATTTTAATATGTAGAAAAATAAATTTTAATCGGCTCAAATTTTATGTAGAAAGATTGTTTGGAGTTTATGTAAGGGTAATTTTGGTATTTTAAATAATTTATTTTTATTATAAATGATAGTTTAATGACAAGGGACGTCAATAATGTTTAAATATAAATTAAAGGGTGTGTCAGTAATATTTTTTATAATAGAGGGGATATTTTTGAATATATAATAAATTAGAAGAGATGTAACTGAAAATTTTTCAAATAAATTTTTTTTGATCTTGTTCTATATCAATTACATAATATCATCATTCAATAAAAAAAATAAATGAACAAATGAGTCTCATTTATTTCAGGTAATACACCATATAACTTGATAACTACCCCATATAATATAATAATATTCATTTATTGTATTTAATTATTTTTTTATTAAATAATGATGATAAATATCTATAATCTATATAATAAAGTAGCTAGATTTCTTTGTCTTTAATTTTTCGTGGCTCAAATCGTTTGACTATTATTAATCTGACGATTTTCACACCAATTTTTTCAAGACTCCTATGACTCATTTAACTGTCTTTATATCTATCTTATATTCTCTCTCTCTCATATTATTATCTTATTTTTTATGTTTTCCAAATGTTATTTTTTTATTATTTACTCCATAAAACATATAAAATTACATGTTATACAATTATTTATTCCATAAAATTATTTCAAAATTTTATATATTTGACAACATGTATTTTAATGTAAATAAAAAATAGCACTTCACGATTTGAGGTCTTTTTTATCTGAGTTTCACATCTGTGCCTGAAATTAAGTCTTAATTGATTTAGGGCCTAAATTCTTATAAAATTCTCATTGATAATGGTTTTTATATAGATTGTTTTTTTAGTTTTTTTTTAATATTTGCCCTATTTGTATAATTTTGGTACTAAATTTTTAAAATTTTTTCAAACTATCAATTTTTCAAAATTTTTTGTCAACTTTTTAATTTATTTTCACTTATTTTATGTGCATCAAAGATTTTTGAGTTTAACGAGCCTTTTAAAAAAAAAGTTGAACAATTGGCTTAGTTTAAGTATGTACCTATATCAAATGATATAGTAAGAAAAAACGCTATGGTGTGAACAAATCTGTATTTAAATTTTATGGGTTAAAATACAAATTTTAAAGTTTATATACAACAAAAAATTTTATAATTTAAGGTCAATGTCATGTTGGTTAAATCAACAACAAATAATATTCAACATGAAATGAACCTTAAATTGTAAATTAATATATATTTTATAAAAAATTGACATTTAATTTTGTCCAATTTATATTCAAAATTTTCTAATTAATATTAAATTAAATTTTATTGTTATCAAATTAATATTTAAATTCATTTAATCAATTTTTTGGGGGTATTAAATTATATCAATTTTTTGGGTATTAAATCAAATGTTATTTTATTTTATTAAATTTTTAATTTTTTGGCTACAAAAGTTGGAGAAAGGCAATTATAAAAATAATAATTTTTTTTGGGTGATAAAGTGATCACTTTTCGTTAGCAATATTGAAGGAAGGGAGACAGGGGGGTTTTTGTGTAATAAATTTTAAACTCTAGGGATTTTTGTGTTATTTATAAAATATTTGGGAGTGTCCACATGATATTGTCAAAACTCAAGGGAAGTCCGTATTTTTTACCCTATTTTTAATTAGATATTAATTTATTATTATTTTTTCATAAACACTTTAATTATTATATTTCTAATAAAAACAGTTATTAGTTAGAAAAGTTTGTTGGTAGCCAAAAAATAAATGTGTGAGAGTATGTTTCTGTGTACTTTATACGTGGAGGATTAAAAATTTGGTAATTAAATTTATAATTTTATCGTGCCATTTGGGATTGAATGATGATAAATTCATTAGTTTTATAGATGCGTAAGATTTGATTGATTTTATTTATCGCTTAAAGATTGTGAATTTAATTACGTTTTATTTTATTTTTTCTTGAGATATTTATTACATGAGAATAAGGTGGATTGAATATATAGTGATTGTGTTTATAATTGTATTTTGTTATTGGATTGAATAGTGGTAAAGAGGATAAATTTATGAGTCTTATAAATGAGCAAAATTTTATTTATTACTTAAAGATTGCAAATTTCAATGGATTAAGTTAATATTTTTTTTTTTGGATGCATTTGTATATATGGTATTATTTGAAAGATTTTATATATTTTTACAACAGTTCTATTAATATGGAGGATATGATCGGCGATATATTTCAATTCATTTTGAAAGAAGAATTGGTATGAAAATTTTTAGGCTATTCTTTTTGAATTTGGACAATTGTGTAAAAAAATTTTATTTGTTATATAGTGTCACATATTACATTGAATATTTACTCGAATGGGAGGTTTGGGTTTATAGAGGGGTAGAACTGTCACTTTGACGAAGTTCCTAAAATACATCTCTCTCCACCTTGGCTCGCTGTGTTGCGGCACCTCCAAAGCCTACCAACTTTTGAGCTTCGATTTCATCGAAACCCATTTCTTTTACTCGACAATTATTTACAAAAACCCCTCACTTCTCACCTTCTCTCCTAACCCTCCTCTCTCTCTCTCTCTCTCTCTGGAAGTAAGGTGAGTCTTGAATCCTTGATACTATAAGTTGTTAATTATACATACATATCTGCATTTATATTATACCCATTACCATTTTGCAATGTGGCTAAGAATCTATGATGAGTATGAAGCTGTTCTGAACACAATATGCAGATGTAAATGACTATATTCATTCTGACATCATAAAAATGTCAGTTTTGGGTGTCTTGTGTTTTCATAGTTTTATCAGGAAAACTTATTTTTCAGGTTCTGCATTGGAAAAAGAACCTGAAAATGTTGACTAATTTTTTTTTTTTAGACTCGTATGATTATGTTTTTTTGTCTTTTAATTTAGTTGATAGGTACTTTGGCATTGAACATAATTTGGTATGGTTCTATTTGTTTAGAATTTACACTCTAATGCTAGGTTGATGGAGTGTAAATGAGCAAGCTTTGAACTTAATTTCTAAACTAATTTAACTTTTGGAAAATTAGAGAGAATACTATTTGTTGGCGACTTAAAATTTTTCCGATTGATTATCCATAAGTATCGAATCGTCAAGGTTAAATCTCATTGTAAAAATAGCTATGTTAAGTGTTGTTTTCTTATTTGTTTGCCCTTTTTCTCCAAACTATTAGATAAATACTTGTGCTACACTCCCCTCTAACAACTTAAGCTTTTAGATGATTGGTTGTTTAATATAGTATTAGAGCCTAGAGGCTTTGACCCCTTTCTAATAGCTTAAGCTTTTAGATGAGTTGGTTGTCTAATACAAATTACAAACCAAGTTGATATAAGGACCTATATCTGGATTAAAAAAAAATTGATTTAGCTACCTTTTGCAGGTCTATATTTACTGGTTGCGTGAATCAACTCATAGAAAATGGCTGCAACTGCAACTCCTAGCATGCACATTGCAGCAAAACTGTGCATTTCTGCTTCTTCCAAAGTTTCCAAGTCTAGTATTGCTAGTTTTGGTACTAAAGCTAGAGGGGCATCTTGGACAAGGCTTAAAAGCTCTTCTCACATTTCGTCAACACAGCCATTGTTCCAGAGTTTCACTTCCACTCCTGCGAAATTTGAAAAGGTTGTAACAAAAGCAATGTCTGAAACAAGTGAGGATAAGCCTTTGTCAGGCTTGCCTATTGATTTGAGAGGTTAGTCTTCAGTGTGTATTTTTTAGTATAAATAGCTGACAAGATGGTTGGCCATATCAGAAGTAAATCATAATAATGCAATAAAGTATTGTTCCAAGGTATTCCATACTACTGTTTGTCTTGGTGTCCCATTTATTAAGAAGGATAGGTTCAAGTGACCCTAATGCTGATATCAGAGAAGGTATGTATTGCTCAGGTGTGTTAAGAATAGTAGGGTAGTATGTGTAAATTGTTAATAGTAAGAGGGTATATATGTAATTCTTATTATTGTAGGTTAACTATAAATATAAGTGATATATGAGAGTTAGGTTAAGTTTTAACCTCTCTCTGTTTTTCTCTAAATATTGTCTCTAATATTATGTTAATTCTCCAAACTTAACATGGTATCAGAGCAAGACGATCATAAATATATATTCTGAATAAATTTATTTCTTGTTCGTCGTGGTGGTACTGTTGTGGTGGTGGTAGTCGACGTCTGTCGCTGGTTGAAGTATCGTGGTTACTGCTGTGGTGTTGTCATCGTGGTTACTGTTGTGGTGGTGGTAGTCGACGTTAGTATAGTCGACTTGGTGGCACGATTGTTTGCTTCGTGGTTGTTCAGTCGACGCTGTGTAGTTGACTTTGGTTCGTGGTTGTGTAGTTGGCTGCCCTAAGTAGTGGCGGTGGTGTGTGCCACTTATGTGTTCAGAATAGGGTTTCTAACCCTTGCAGAGAAGAAGAAGAAGAGATCCAACGGGTTGGGTCAGATCGGGTCAACCCACGGTCCAACCCAAGACTTGGCCCAACTTAGACCGGTTTGGTCTGGTTCAGAGGTTAAGAGAGTCCAGCCGGTCTGATTCAGACCGGTTTTACTCCGGTTCATTGGTCCAAAGGACTAAACCAGTCCGGTTTAGGCTTCCAGTAGCCTCAGCAAGGTTGGTTCAGTGGTCCAGAGGGCTAAACCAGTCTGGTTTAATGGTTCTCTAGGCTGGTTCAGCCTTCCAGCAGCCTCCTTTGGGCTAAACCAGTGCACTTCAGTGGTTCTCTAGGCCGGTTCAGCCTTCCAGTAGCCTCTTTTGGGTTAAACCAGTCTGGTTCAATGGTTTTCTAGACCGGTTCAGCCTTTCAGCAGCCTTATTTTCTCTGGTTCAGCATTGTAGCACTTTTATTTCCTATTTGCTGCACTCTTATAGAACCCAAGCAAGACACCATGACTCTTACTCCATTTTTACCTCTTTCAATTCTTATTAATGGTCCCATGATCTCTCTCAAACTTAATAGGATTAATTATACTTTATGGTCTCGATTTGTTTAAATTTTTCTTTGAGGCAAAGGATTTAAGAAATATCTGGTGACTCCTAAACCCAAGGAAGATACTCCTGGTTATGATCAGTGGGAACAAGAGAATGCTCAAATTATTTCTTTACTATTGAATAGTATTGAGCCTAGTATTAGTTCTACTCTACTCTACCTTGACACTGCCAAGGAGATATGAGATCACTTGACCACTATGTATTCTGGTACGGGCAATTTTACTCGAGCTTATGAGGTGTGCAAGGAGTATTTCCTACTGGAACAGAGTAATCTGAGCATTGAGGACTATTATTCTCACGTTCGGGGAGTCTGTGAGGAGATGAAGACCTATCATCCGTTTACTACTGATGTAGCGGTTTGACAGAAGCAACATGAGGGCATGAATGTTGTTAGGTTTTTGGTAAGTTTGAAACCTGAATATGAGGGTCTTCGTTCTTAGATTTTGGGTGGTTCTACTCTTCCCTCACTACTTGAGGTTTTCTCTCGTATACAGCGTGCTACTTTGTCTAGTTCAGGTATCAATCATGGTGTTTCCATTGATCGCTCAACTCTTGTGGTACCTAATAGTCATAGTAATGGTCCTCGAGGTGGTCGTGGTGGTCGAGGAGGTCGTACGGGTGGTCGTGGGGGCTGTAGTGGACCACGTTCCTGTACTCACTGTGGTCGTGGAGGGCATACTGTTAATTTCTGTTGGGATTTACATGAAAAACCTTCTGGTGCTGCAAATCAGGCTTCCTATCAGGATGACATCTCTGTTGTTGCTTTCATACCTTGGTCAGCTCCACCAGACACTGGGTCGATTACTATTACACGAGAGGAGTATGCTCAATTCCAGTCCCAGCATCACCCTCCATTGCTATTTTTACCCAGTCAGGTACTGCTTCTACAAGTTTGTTGTCCTCCACTTGTAGTCCCTGGATCATAGACTCTGGTGCTTCTAACCACATAACTGGTGCGTCTGATGTCTTTTCTACTTATCAGTCTACTACTTCCATACGTAGTGTTACTCTTGCTAATGGTTCTTGTTCTAAAGTTTCAGGTTTTGGGACTACTAACTTGAGTCCTGATATGTCTCTATCTTCCGTGTTATTTGTTTCTCAGTTTTCTTTTAGTTTATTTTTCATTAGCAAGATTACCCGTTCTCTCAATTATTCTGTAATCTTTTATCCCTCTTATTGTGTCTTTCAGTATCTCAAGACGAAAAGGAAGATTGGTACAGGTAATGAAGCTGGTGGCCTATATTACCTAGACTTTGATTCACCTACCCGGGCTCTACAGATCTCGTTGTCTTCTTTTCAATGGCACTGTCATCTTGGACATCCTTTTCTCCAGAATTTGAAGCGCCAAGTTCCCAATCTTAGTTATGTGTCGTCTTTGTCCTGTGAAGCTTGTCAATTTAGTAAACATCACCGTGTGTCATTTCAGTCTAGAGTCAATAATCGTGTTTCTAGTCCATTTGAATTAGTCCATTCTGATGTATGGGGTCCAATAAAGAATATTTCATCTAATAAATATCTTTATTTTGTGACATTTGTGGACGACTATTCTCGTGTGACTTGGTTGTTTTTGATGCAAGCTCAATCTGACTTATTCTCTATATTTGAGGCCTTTCATAAGAAAATAAAAACTCAGTTTGGTTGTCGTATATGTACTTTACATTCTGATAATGCTCAGGAATATGAATTTGATCATTTTTCAGCTTATTTTAATAAAATTGGCATTATTCATCAGACTTCTTGTGCTTACACCTCTCCACAAAATGGTGTTGCTGAACGCAAGAACCGTCATTTGTTGGAAGTCCCTCGTGCCCTGTTATTCCAGATGAATATTCTCTGATATTTTTGGAGTGATACTATTCTTACTGCTTGTCATTTTATTAATCATATGCCATCATCTGTATTGAATGGGCAAAGTCCATATTCTGTCCTTTTTCCTAATAAACTTTTATTTTTTCTGACTCCTAAGGTTTTTGGATATTTGTTATGTTCACAATTTGGGTCCTGGGTTTGACAAACTTGACCCTCGAGTTACTAAATGTGTATTTCTTGGTTACTCCCGCACACAGAAGGGGTATTGTTGTTACAGTTCTTCTCTGCACCAATACTTTACTAATGTCGATATCACGTTTGCCGAATTTGTTCCATACTTTCCAACACATTCTCAGCCTTTGGATCTAGACTTTGGATCATCTTCTGTACCACCATCTCTTTCCTCATCCTCAGATATTCCGCTGCCCACTGTGTTACCATCTACTTTGCCTCTCTATGTCTATTCTCACTGTCCTCACCCATCCACTAAGGTGCTCGTATCGTCTTCCTTGCCGCCTTCTGATCCTGGTACATCAGGTAATTTAGACTCTTTACCTATTGTTCTTCGCAAAGGTACTCGTTCGTGTGTTACTAATCATCTCATTTCTCATTTTGTTTCATATGATGCCTTGTCTTCTGTCTTCTCCTGTTTTATTTTTCAATTATCAGGTATATCTATTTCTAAGCATTTACAGGATGCATTATCTGATCCGGGTTGGAGGAAAGTTATAGAGGAGGAGATGAATGTTTTACATCATAATGGGACTTGGGATCTCGTTCCTTTACCCCCTAGTAAACGAACTGTTGGCTGTCGTTGGGTGTAAACTGTTAAATTTCATCCAGATGGTTCTGTAGAGCATCTCAAAGCTCGACTTGTTACGAAGGGCTTTACTCAGACTTATGGTGTTGATTATGAGGAGACTTTTTCTCCTGTTGCCAAAATTTTCTCTGTTCGTGTCTTGATTTCTTTGGCTGCTAATCTTTATTGGCCTTTGTTTCAGGTAGACATCAAGAATGCCTTTCTACATGGTGACTTGGTTGAAAAGGTATACATGGAGCAGCCACCTGAGTTTACTGCTCAGGGGGAGTATGGTAAGAGTGTATGTCGATTAAAGAAATTTTTGTATAGTTTGAAGCAGTCACTGAGGGCATGGTTTGATAAGTTTTCAGATGCAGTTTTAGAGTTTGGCTTTCTTCGATGTTAGATAGATCATTCTGTGTTTCATAGACAAACAGATGCTGCATATGTCCTATTAGTGGTCTATGTAGATGATATTGTGATTACTGGAAATAATTTTGAGGGGATTGCCAAGTTAAAAATATTCTTACAGGATTGATTTCATACTAAGGATTTGAGAAAATTCAGGTATTTCTTGGGTATTAAGGTGACTCGATCTAAACAGGGTATTTGTTTATCTCAGAGGAAATATGTACTTGACATACTTGAGGAAGCAGGTTTGCTAGGTGGTAGACCGATTGATGTTTCTATGGATCCGAATCAGAAATTATTGATGGATGATGGTGTATTGTTTGAGAATTCGGGTCGATATTGTAGATTGATTGGGAAGCTTAATTATCTCACTATTACTCGACCGGATATTTCCTATGCAGTCAGTATAATAAGTCAGTTCATGGGATATCCTAGAGTACCACATTGGGAGGCAGTTACTCGTATTCTGCGATATCTCAATCGAGCTCCTGGACTTAGACTATTATATCAAGCTAATGGACATCTTAGAGTGGAAGGTTTCTCAGATGTTGATTGAGCTGGCTCTTCTTCTAATCGGAGATCAACTATTGGTTATTGTACTTTCTTAGAAGGTAATGTTGTCTCGTGGAAAAGTAAGAAGCAACCCGTGGTAGCAAGATCCAGTGCTGAGGCTGAGTATAGGGCAATGGCACATACGACGAGTGAGTTAACTTGGCTACTACACTTCCTCCAAGAAATTGGGTTTCCAATTCAACTTCCTTTACAGTTGTTCTTTGACAACCAGACAGCTATCCATATTGCTGTCAATCCTGTGTTTCATGAGAGAACCAAACATATTGAGGTTGATTGTCACTTTATTCGGGACAAGATAGTTGTTGGGGAGATTACTACTCTATTTGTGAAATCTGAAGATCAACTTGCAGATATGTTTACCAAAATATTGAGTCGTACACATTTGTTCCAAGCTTGGATTATATGATATATATAGTCCAACTTGAGGGGGAGTGTTAAGAATATGAGGGTAGTATGTATAAATTGTTAATAGTAAGAGGGTATATGTGTAATTCTTATTATTGTAGGTTAACTATAAATACAAGTGATATATGAGAGCTAGGTTAAGTTTTAACCTCTCTCTGTTTCTCTCTAAATATTGTCTCTAATATTATGTTAATCCTCCAAACTTAACAAGGTGAATCCTCCATGAATGCGTCAAAGCAACATCCAAACACCGAAAAATAAAAAAGAGAATTTGGAAGAGAAAAGGTAGGCCAGACGATCATGAATTCTAGAAGTTTTTGGATTCTAGAAGTCTTTGGGGAAATATTTGGTGACTAGGCCAGATGATCATGGATTTAAGAAAATTATTGGTTTAAGTAGCTGTGTAATGCATACTTGTTTCTTCAGTAATGAACTTAACTGGACAAATTATCTATTGAAAAAAGGTGTGCAGCAAGAATGCGCCAATATTTTATACACATTGTCGTTAAAGAACACCTGTATGACTTATACCTATTAAGTTAAACTTTTGCGCTAAAGAATGAGTTTGAAAGTAACCCTTCTGTTGTTGCTTTTAACTGTGCAACTGAAGTGCATCATGGGCATCTTGACAATTAGCCACAAGTAACGTGAATGCAATGAAAATCTGACCAACTTAAGTAGCATTAACTGCAGGTAAGAGGGCATTTATTGCTGGTATAGCTGATGATAACGGATATGGATGGGCAATAGCAAAATCTCTTGCGGCTGCAGGTGCTGAAATTCTCATCGGTACATGGGTACCTGTATGTATATTGTTCGGAATCTTTTTGTGTGCTTAGATGACTGCCAACATATTCGGGGCTCTGTAAAATATGTTCTGTTCTTAGTGGACTTATGTCTTTGTAGGCACTGAACATTTTTGAGAGCAGTTTACGACGTGGGAAATTTGATGAGTCACGCGTGTAAGAACGAATCTGTTGTTTCCCAATTATACTATGTTGGTTAATGTTTGCCTAGCTGATTGCTAATGTGGATTTGATGTTTTAGGTTACCTGATGGTTCTTTGATGGAAATTACAAAAGTCTATCCACTGGATGCAGTTTTTGACAGTCCTGAGGATGTGCCTGAAGATGTTAGATAACAGCATTTCATGTAGTCATTAAAATTCATGTTATCCAATATATTCTGGCTGAAATAGCAATATGCGGTATTATGCAGGTAAAAGCAAACAAGCGCTATGCAGGGGCTTCAAATTGGACTGTTAAGGTATCAATATTGTATCTTTCTACATTATTGTTGGAATGGACTGCTCAAGCTAAGAAATCCATTTCTAATCAGAAGAAATTAAACACGTTCTTATTCTAAATTTGTGGTCAACATAGAATCCTTTATATATAGGCAAATGTTCCTTTTCGTTATGGAGAACAGTAGTATGGTCGCCCATTGTGTAGGTATAAAGGTAGAGATGGCGGGGACCAATCGACCAAGTTACAATTATTTCATTTCTACTTTTGTGCTACACTTCTTTATTTATCTTTGTCAATGGTTTGCAGCAAGAGGAGTTTTTTTAATGGATATGTCTTAGCTTACTCCTATTTTTTCTATTGTTTTGTGAACACGAACCAAGAAATTCTGTTACCTAATCACCACGGCACTGGTTATAGTGTATAACAATATCTATTCCTTTTTCTGCTTCTTCTTTAAGTGCTGTGTAACCCAAAGGGGCTCTGATTTTCTTTCCCCTACCAATTGGGGCCCTCCGTTCACCATCCCTATGAGGACTGTCTACTGAGTTTATAACTGCTACTCTTACTCGGGTTGTACACTTAATCAACACTTATCACTGGTTCCACCCAAACTTTCTACTTCATCCCAGCATATTCTGCACATGTCCAACTGTTGCTGAGCTGTTTTTCAAAGTCCGGAAAGTGTTTTTGAAAGTCATGGACCTCAAAAACTCACTAATTTCCATGACGTGTAAAAGAAATGTATAATACCTTGTGCCTTGTTATACTCTTTGGAGTATGAATTTTCATGTTTATGTGTTGTGTTTGAGAAAGTAATTATACTGAAATAAATTTCAATTATGAATTGGACGTAATTTCTAAATATTTGGATGCTGGATTCGTACCAAATAATGAGAAAGATTCTTACCTAAAAGATGGCTTTGGGTTTAAGAACTCGGTTTTGTGTTTGTTTGGTTTACTTGTTCTGGTGGTCCTCATAGTTCTGATTCTTCTCTCATATATGATGCCTCAAGTTGATATTTTCTGGTAAAATCAAGTTAGAACCAAATTAGATTCACCATGGAACCTAAACAAGCTTGTCAATTTAAAAATTGTTTGTGTTCTAACTATTTGGTTTCATGTTTGCACTTGGGCATCGTAACGTAACAAGCTTGCTTGATAGTGGGGTCAAAGAACTGAACAGTTGTTTATTGATTAGTTATATCTTGCAGGAAGTTGCTGAATCTGTGAAACAAGATTTTGGCAGCATTGACATCCTTGTGCACTCACTTGCCAATGGGCCTGAGGTACGGCTATGGTTTTCCTTCTTTCTTTGTTCTTGTTCTCAATGTCTTTTCACTTTTCCATTATAAGCATACACACACACACCACATGCAGGTTACCAAACCCCTCTTGCAGACATCTAGGAACGGATATCTTGCTGCCATCTCTGCATCGAGTTATTCGTTTGTTTCTTTGCTGAAGCATTTTGTTCCAACAATGAATCCAGGCACAGTTCTCTTTGAATCTGAAAATATTTCTCTTGTTCTCACTTATTTCTTCGACACCCTCTCCACCCAAAAAGGAAACACAAACACACAAATGTTCTATTATGCTTCGGCAAGCAATGTGGTTGCTAGAAGTTTGAGTTTTTGGTGGTAATATTACAGGTGGTGCTTCAATTTCTCTGACATACATTGCTTCTGAACGGATCATACCTGGGTATATTTCCGTTGAATTTTTTATACTGCTTGGCTGTAATTCCATCTCTTAATGGTCATCCTAGGATCACATTGGTTCAGTTAAATCTTTTCTACTTGCAGATATGGCGGAGGCATGAGTTCTGCAAAAGCTTCTCTGGAGAGTGATACAAAGGTGAGTTGTTCTGCATTTGGATTCTTTCTTTCTGCTTGTGTTTAATATCCCTTAAAATCTGAGATCTATGACGGGGTGTAACATTTCTATGCTCAATGAAGGTGCTGGCTTTTGAAGCTGGAAGAAAACACAAAGTCAGAGTCAACACTATATCTGCAGGTATTATTAGAAGTGGTTATTGCTGATACTAACGCAGTAATGGGAGTGAACCATCTTCCTGATGTTAGTTACTGAAAGATCAAACAATGATCTCTTTATTTTTTTTTATCCTTCTTCCTCCCCACCAAGACCTATTGAAGACCTTTTAAGTGCATGTCATCTTCCAGTTTTGGGAGAGTGGATATTGTTTTTGCTCCAGCTGACCCACAATGCACATGTATTCCTGCCAGGTGTCAAAAATGCATAATGCATTGCTATAATGTTCTTGCTTCTTGGCAAAAATGTTTGAAGCAAGCTACTTACCTTGATTTACAGTTGAGATTGGTTTTCGGTTGGGCCAGAGGTGCTATGTGCAGATCAGATGCATTACATGAAGGTTTTTTAAGTATTTACCTATGAGTCATTATCTTGGGGTTTGTATTTTTTCCAAGAACACCAATCAATCAAGTTATTCCAGAAAACTGAGTACATGGATACTTAATAGAAATACATTTACAAGTAATTGAATGTTCAATCCATTGCTTATAGGATTAAGCAACTATAGAAGTTGACGGAATATCTTTCAAAGATACTTATTGTTTGGGAGTTTAGGAGATTGTCCAATTAACATAGTTAGAGTGTAATGATTGGGCTTTTCTTTTTGGTGGTCAAGCACTTGGTTGGTTTAGTTTTACCTTAAATGGCTATGGAAAAGCAAATGGAATAATTCAATATGCACATGAAATCCATACAAAATGATTTACATGTTAGCCATCCTTCTCTAACAATTTCTTATGATTGAATGTAATGTATCAGGGCCATTAAGAAGTCGTGCTGCGAAAGCTATAGGTTTTATTGATATGATGATTGATTACTCACTGGAAAATGCACCCTTGCAGAAGGAACTCTCTGCAGGTAAGTCATATAAGACTCTTGACTCTGCAACTTAGGTCACATTTGGTTGTGTTTCACAGCAGTCTTCAGAAACCATTTTATATTTGAGCAACTTATCAATTTTTTTGTCAACCAAACAAAAGAAGAAATGATGGTCCCATAAAAAACTTCTGACCTTAGGGACAAAATGCAACATAATGCAATATCAATATCACATATCTGCTATCCTCATTGCCTTGTAAATACTGAGCCTGTAAAACAAATGGAACAGAGGAGGTGGGGAATGTTGCTGCTTTTCTGGCATCACCCTTGGCTTCAGCGATCACTGGTGCTGTTGTGTATGTTGACAATGGTCTGAATGCAATGGGAGTCGGAGTGGACAGCCCAGTATTTCGAGATCTTGACATTCCAAAAGCCAACAAAAGCTAAAGGGTAGTGATCACAGTTTTCTTACCATGTGAGTCTATTGAAAAATTCATATCATAAAAAAATAATTGTTGGATTTCCTCCTCCTTATCCTTTGCTATCTTACCCAAGAATAGATCACTTGCCACCCCTTTTTGATGAGGTTAATTTACTTTGAAGAAACAATGTTTAGTCAGTTGAATTAGCAGTTTGTAATGAGGCCCTGTAAGCTTGGGCCATGTTTACATTTATAACAGCAATGGTGAGCCTCCAATATTTTGCATTTACTACCCTTAACAGTGTCATTTTCACACAATTTATTATGTTTGCTTGGAGAGAGAACAGTGCAAAAAAAATAAAGTGGAGAAACAATTGGTTTTTGCTCAATTTTACATAGAAAACTTCATATACCAGGAGGGGATTTTTATTTTTTTTGCTATTAGGAGGGATTTCACTCACTTATAAGCATTACAAACTGAACCAACTCTCACTCACAATTTGACATGATTCAAATTGTCTGAATCCCTCGATTCAATTGTTTTCCAAGAATGTTAAGCCCAGTGTATGAGTCAATTGTTTTCCAAGAATGTTAAGCCCAGTGTATAAGTCATGTATCTGAGAGGAACTTAAAAGGGTTTTCCATTCTTTGCACCCCGTTTTGGTCTTGCAACTATTTAAATCAATATAAGAAAAATTATATATATGTCCAATATCTAGTAGTGGTGGCACGAACAGTATAACAAGTAATAAGTTCTACTCTTCTCCCCGCTTTGAAAAGGATTGCAAGCGCAATAGCAATACCAACATTCATTAGGATTGGGTTTCATCTCCCTTTGCTCAAGAAAATATTCACTGCTTCGGATATTTTGCTTATGTAGTCTTCAACAGAAGAATGTTGTGACCATTCTTATGTCCATTCATATATATCTCTATAGTCTATATTACTTTAAAAAGTAAGCATATTTGAAAAATATTTTCTTTTTACTTTTATCCTCTAAAATCACAACTATTTCATTCTTATCCCTTAATACTAAAGCCAAAACAAACTTAAGCCTCCTCATATTCTAAAAAAAAAAACCAACGCCTCTCAATCTTCTCTTTCTCCCTTGTTGTTTCATCTTCATCTTTCCCTACTCCAAATAAATCTCATTCTCTCTCTTCTTTACCTCTTTTAGAAACAAATGTTATTAGAACTGGATTGGTCATCGAACCGACAAGGGGACCAGGTCAATAGTTCACTGGTTCAATCGTTGGGTCAATTGGTCGGACCATGTATAAAATACATATAATTTGCCATAAAATTAATGAAATTAAGTAACAAAGTGGGGGTTATTATATTTTAAAGCAAAGTAAAGAGGTTCAAGTAAATTATAAAGAAAAAGAAAGAGTGTCATTTATAATTTATCCAATAATAAGGTTAAAAAAAATCGGCTATTTATTGATTTAGGGCAAAAAAAAATTATTTATGTAATTTAATTTTTAAATAGGCATTAAACAATCCAGTTTTTATAAAACCGCCGGTTCACGATTTTTTGTTAAAAATCGGCCGATTTTTTGATTTTTAGCCAATTCGCTTCTTTAAACAGTTCAACTAAGAAATCGGACCAGTTAAGTTCCTGGTTCATGGTTGAACCAGTCTGATCGGCCGGTCCGGTCCGATTCTGAGAACACTGTCTAGAAACCCTTGATGTCCCCTCTTTCTCCCTGTCTTTCTCTGCTGCTCTCAACATACGTTATTTCACACATTCAATTATCTTTGCATCTCAATATTTGGTGCATCTCTACTTTTTGTGATATTGTTATTTCACTAATATCTATAAGTTTTTATTTTTTATTTTTGTGAATTCATTCCAAATTTTATGATACCAACAAAATTGAACTTCTCTAAAAAAATCAGGCACATGCACACCACCGTGTATTAACATTCAGAAGAATAGTTAGAATTTGGTTATTGTTAAAAAATCTAATAAATTGCTTGTTCAGAGTAATAACAATAAAAAAATGATGTTATAATTATCACAAATATGAATTACAACTAAATATTTTAGTGGAGATATTTGTTAGACATTTTAATTAGTTTTGGTTGACTTTTGTCAGTATGATTGTGGACTTGTTGTACACAATTTGAAGAAGGGAATTTAAACAATTTCCTCAAAGTTGCGTATGTGTGTTGCCTTTTAATTTGAAGAAGAGGATTTCCCCTTCATCAATCAATTTGCAAGTTGAACTATTGATCTGGGCTCATCCAAAATTTTCAAAAATTTTAAATCTATTTATCATTATTTATTTGTCATACATATGAATTGTTATCCTTGATTGTTTTAATTTATATTCTGATAATCAATTGCTTATATTTGGTCTGACCTCTACTATGCAACTGAGTCATTTGTTTACGAATTTACAATAAAATATAAATTTTGATATTTGTAAAATGCCTAAAAAAAATTACAAATTATTATATAAAATAATTCATATGCAACACACGAGCATTGCATTTTTAGAAATTTCAATATGATCATTTAACTATAATTTGACAAAATAATATTTTATTATAAAAATAGTAAATAAAAATTATAAAAACTCAAAATAATTCACGTACAACACACATATGTACTAACTAGTATAAAATAAAATAGGCTTCAATAAACCCATTTAATAGTCTCTGTTAATTGTGGAAGATTAACACAATATTAGAGAGAAACAGAGAGAGGTTAAAACTTAACTTAACTCTAATACATCACTTGTATTTATAATTAACCTAAAGTAATACAAATTATACATATACCCTCTTACTATTAACAATTTACATATACTACTCTATTATTCTTAACACTCTCCCTCAAGCTGGACTATATATATCATAAAATCTAAGCTTGAAACAAATAACTATAAGACGTGTACGACTCAATGCTTTGATAAACATATCTGCAAGCTGATCTTCCAATTTCACAAATGGAGTTTTAATCTCCTTAGCTACTATCTTGTCCCGAATAAAGTGACAATCAACTTCAATATGTTTGGTTCTCTCATAAAACACAGGATTAACAGCGATATGGATAGCTGTCTGGTTGTCACAGAACAATTGTAAAGAAAGTTGAACTAGAAACCCAATTTTCTGGAGGAAGTGTAGTAGCCAAGTCAACTCACTCATCGTATGTGTCATTGCCCTATACTCAACCTCAGCACTGGATCTTGCTATCACTGATTGTTTCTTACTTTTCAATGAGTAGCATCACTCCAATAATATCGAGGAATATTTATCTGGAATAATAAGGCATGGGGACTTCCAACAAATGACGGTTCTTGGATTCAGCAATACCATTTTGTGTAGAGGTGGAAGTACAAGAAGTCTGATAAATAATGTCAATTTTACTAAGATAAGCTAAAAAAGGATCAGATTCATATTCCCGAGCATTATCAGAACGTAAAGTACATATACGACAACCAAACTGAGTTTTTATTTTCTTACAAAAAATCTCAAATATAGAAAATAATTCAGACCAAGCTTTCATAAAAAATAACCAAGTCACACGAGAATAATCATCCAAAAATGTCACAAAATAAGGATATTTATTAGATAAAATATTTTTTATTGGACCCCATATATCAAAATAGATTAATTCAAATGGACTAGACACACGATTATTGACTCTAGATTGAAATGACATACGGTGATGCTTACTAAGTTGACAAACTTCACAAGACAAAAACGACACATAACTAACACTAGGAACTTGGCGCTTTAGATTCTAGAGAGAGGGATGTCCAAAACGACAATGCCATTGAAAAGGAGACAACGAGGTTTGTAGAGCTCGAGTAGGTAAATCAAAGTCAAGGTAATATAGGCCACCAGCTTCATGCCCCGTACCAATCTTCCTCTTCGTCTTGAGATCTTGAAAGACACAATAAAAAGGGTAAAATGTTACAAAACAATTGAAAGAACGAGTAATCTTACTAATGAAAAGTAAACTAAAAGGGAACTGAGGAACAAATAACACAGAAGATAGGGACATATCAGGACTCAAGTGAGTAGTCCATAGACCTGAAACTCTAGAACAAGTACCATTAGCAAGAATAACACTACGTATGGAAGTAGCAGACTTATAAATAGAGAAAACGTCAGACGCACCAATCATGTGGTCAGAGACGCCAGAGTCGATGATCCAAGGACTGCAAGTAGAAGACAATAAACAAGTGGAAGCAGTACCTGACTGAGCAAAAATAATAGTGGAGGGAGATGGAGCAGCCTATTGCTGAGACAGGAACTGAGCATACTCCTCTCGACCCAGTGTAATAGTAACCGACCCAGTATTTGGTGGAGTTGATCGAGGTATGAAAGCAACAACATAAGTATCATCCTAATAAGAAGCTTGATTAGTAGAAAGTTTTTCATGTAAATCCCAACAGAAATCAACAGTGTGTCCTCCACAGCCACAGTGAATACAGGAACGGGATTCACTACGACCCCCACGACCACCTGTACGACCTCCGCGACCATCACAACCACCACATTCACTTCGATGACTATCACTATGGCTATTAAGAACCACAAGAGCTGAGCGATCAATGCAAACACCATGATCAATGACTAAAGGAGTAGACAGTGTAATACGCTATAAACGAGAAAAAACCTCCAACAGTGATGAAAAATTAGATTCACCCAAAATCTGATAATGAATAGCCTCATATTCAGGTTTCAATCCTACCAAAAATCTAACAACATTCAAGTTTTCATGTTACTTTTGTCAAACTGTTGCATCAGTAGTAAACGGATGATAAGTCTTCATCTCCTCACAGACTGCTCGAACATGAGAGTAATAATCCGCAAAACTCAGAGTACCCTGCTCCAACTGGAAGTACTCCTTGCACACCTCATACGCACGAGTAAAATTATTTGTACCAGAATACATCGTGATCAAATGATCCTATATCTCTTTAGTAGTATCAAGATAGAGCAGAGAAAAGCTAATACTGGGTTCTATGCTATTCAACAATAAAGAAATAATCTGAACATCCTCTTGTTCCCACTGATCATACCCAAGAATGTCTTCCTTGGGTTTAGAACCCACCAAATATTTCTTAAATCATTTGCCTCGAAAAAAGACTTGAACAAATCGGGACCACAAAATGTAATTAGTCCCATTAAATTTGACAAAAGTCATGGAACCATTGATAAGAGTTGGAGAAGACAAAGATGGAGTAAAGGACCTGGTATCTTGCTTGGGTTCCATAATAATGCAGCAAATAGTAAACAAGAAGAGTTACAATGCTAAAGTAGAGAAAAAGAAACTACTAGAAGGTTGAACCGAGCTGGAAAAGATAACTGGACCACTGAACCGGGTTGGAAAAGGTTGCTGGAACACTGAACTGGTTCGATTTAGCTCTTTGGACCACTGAACTAAGCCAATTTGGCTTGCTGGAGCACTGAACCCGATCGGTTTAGCTTGTTGGAGCATTGAACTGGGCCGATCTGAGATTAGTCTGAACCGGACCAAACAATGGATTGGGTCAGATTTGGATTGACTCGAAGTGGATCAGATCGGGCTATTTCTTCTTCGCTAGTTAGGGTTTCAGAAAACCCACCTACACCTCACCACTGCACCTCACCACCGACAATACGAACCACCACAACCACGAACTAACCACAATAGCCACCATAACAACCACCACAGACCACGCGAAACACGAACCAACCACAGCAACCACCACAACAACGATCACAACAACCACTACAAACCACACCTCACCACCAACGATGGACCACCACAAACTACACCCACACAACCACGACCACAACCGTTGAACAACAGCAAACAACACAGTACCACCACCACGACGATGGTTTCAACAAACAGACAACAGTACTACCACGACGAACAAAATTAATTTAATCAAAATATATATTGATGATCATTCTTGCTCTGCTACCGTGTTAATTGTAGAAGATTAACACAATATTAGAGAAAAATAGAGAGAGGTTAAAACTTAACCTAACTCTTATACATCACTTGTATTTATAGTTAACCTACAGTAATACAAATTGCACATACACCCTCTTACTATTAACAATTTATACATACTACCATATTATTCTTAACAGTCTCAAATAAACTCATCTAATAGCCACTGATATCTTTATTGAAATTATTCACATTATACAGTACTTTCAAACACATGTTACTCTTAGTGTGTGTGTGTGTGTGTATATATATACTAGGATTATATCAAGTTCCAAGACTCAAATAAGATGCTGTATTAACAAGGGAGAATGCATTAGAGAAACAAGACTAAAATATGTACAAAGGCAAGCAAAAGATAACAGATGAGAATTCATACAAGGTTTTGCAATGGACCAAATCCAGAAATCTATATACGAGGGGAACACTGACAAAAGACTACATTAGCCTAGGGGACCATTAACAGAAATCTTAAATCTGGAAAATACATTAATAGAATAAGGCCAACCAGACTATGGAAATCTATGTACTTCAACCAAAAAACTATATTAGCCTAGGTGAACACAGACAAGATACATACCTAAACATGACTACAATCAATTAGCATTCCCCTACTATCAGCACTCATCTCACCGAAACAAGTAACTCTCTGCAACCATCTCATCTAACCTTCCGCTTTCCCTTCCTAATGGCTACAGCTCCTGCTGCTAATTCATCACTTTCTGGAGAGTCTTCAACAACGGTCTGTTGTTGTAAAACCAAACCACGATTCCTGGACAATTTCCTGATTGGTGTTGTAGGCACTGCTGCTTGAGTTTCCCCAGATGCCAAATCTGGTTGAGAATTGCTTGATCCATTCACTTTGTTCCTACAAGGCATCAGTTCTTCTCCAACTTCAACAGCATCCATCATGAACTGCCCAAACAATCAGTGACAGATTTATGGAGGATACACGCTAAATGAATACACCAGTCATCATGCTGAGTCAAAAATTTTAAAGGAAGCAACAAAGAAACACATCAAAAGTCATTGGAGTTGGACATGCACAAAAAGTCATGCTTTGGAAATACCTTGTTAAAAAATGTAACATATCATGCAAATTTGTCACTGGATTTTCCAAATTCAGCAAAATCCAGAACTAAATGATGCTGCAATGCATGACGTATTAGGTTTTGGTGCTCAGTAAACGCTAGTTTGGGCTGGAATGTCCTATGCAAACCTCAGAACATCATTACTAAGCAAATTATGAAAAATTGAAATGTCAAAGTTCCAAGCATTCACTCTGTTAAGATACCTTCCAATCCTTAAAATCAAATCTGAATACAAAGTGGCTGTAAGAAACCTCCCTGGAGGTAACTGCATTTGCAGCAGGAGCATTCCTTGGGGCTGAAACAAATATATCAGTAATTACATAAAAAGAGACAGAAGACATACAGAACAAAATGAAACAAAGATATGTCATTTGCAGAGGAACTTACACACTATATGACAGCCTTTTTCATCCACTGTTACCTCGGCCCGCCCATCTTTAACCAGAAACGATAGAGCAAACAGATTTTCCACTGTCTGTGCAAAACAGTTCCTGTTCAGGATCAAATTTTCAAGCCCGACTCTTCTATTCTTCCTTAAAATGTCAAACATCACGGCCATATTTTTATCTGTGTCTGTTCTCTCTTCGGCAACAGTTTCATCAAGCTGCATAAAGTTGGAAGGATGTCAGTGTAGGTGAATGGGACCAACACCAAGAAAATAAAGGAAAATTTTTGAACTGCAGATTGGTATCGGCAATCTTGCTGAGTTAACACCTAATGGAAAAAGGTCATTTCGAATCATTGTTAAAACATTTTTATCCCTAGAAAGAAAGGGGTTTCAGGGCTCCCATAATATTTTGTTTATGAAAGCAGTAATGCATTATAAAGTATAAACATGAAGTTATCAATCATTTAAATGTAAATGAGTATGCATACAGAGCAGAAAAAAAGCAGTCAGAGCAATATGGAATCTGTACTCCAGTGAATTATTGAGTTTTATATAATATTCCAGTATGAAATAAACAATGTAACTCAGTTTCTTGCACTTTCAAGATATTATTAACAGTAAGTTACCCAATTGTCCAAAAGTATTCTAAATTATTGTTCCATCTAGGACTATTGCAATTTTTATAATCAACCTTCATGCCAATTTTGAAAACAAAGTTCGAAGTCATTTTAAGGGGGAAAAAGTTTGTAGAAAATCATATCCTTGTCAAATTAAATAAAAAACAAATAGGAACGAGAATGAGGCTTCTTTTACCTCTTCAGGTCGAGCACTTTCTGTTAGTCTCGCACGTTTTCTGTGAACAACAGGTTTACGTTGTTTGATCTCAGTATTCATAGGTCCAAGCCTGTACAAAGGCACAGGGAAACACTTTAATGTTGAAAATTTGAAATTAAAAACATAACAGAAACAGAATTTAAAATGGTACAATTATGTAGTACATGGTGCAGCATCCAGGACCCCTCCTGAAAACATTAGACACTGCGATGCCAATGTCTTTCCAACGTACAGAGTTCCCACCCTCTTCCGTGCTGGTACTAGCTGCATCATGTTGCCTGAATTCCCTCAGCAAACAGGTGATGAAATCTGAAGCAGTCACTCCTTCATCGCTATGTGCCTTAACAGAGGTCACCAATGTGTTTGTAATGTCCAACAGAGCTTCTGCATCTGCAACTTGTTCCCTGGGCTTCTGCACTGTAAATTAAAGCATTCTCATAGATATACAAAAAAGTGGCAACTGCATAGTACTACCTGAAAGTGTGAATTTTTAAGAACCATTTTACTAAAAGTCTATAAAAATATAGTAGAAAGAAAAATATGATTTGTAATCTTAGTATGGAGATGATACTCATTGTGTGAATTTAGAATCTATGCAAAAAAAGGCTTCATTCTTTTCAACTAAATAGATAATCCAACAAAGAACATGATTCACTGCATTGATAAGGTTGAATATTGGTATAAAAAAAAAGAAAATTGTCCCAAGTCTCTATTTTAACTATTCAAAATATATTTGAACATTTCACTCTTTATTTTAGACAATCATTTTTACAAATTTACTTCAACCACGCTCTCTATTTTAATTAATTACTTCAACTAACTTTCAATAATTTAAATCAAAAATACCACCACGTCATCGCCATATTTTGAACAGCTATATTTAACCCAAAATTTAATTTAACCAAAAATTTAAATCAATTCAACTCAGTAGAGTTCTTGGCAAGGGGGAGAGGGGTTTTGATGAATCTCAAGTGCTTGCCAAATTTGGAGAGCCTTTTTGGTGAAATGGGAAACGAAGAGTAGGATAAAGAGTGGGTTTGAGAGATTTTTTGGTGTTGAGCTCGGTAAAATGGCAAAGAAATAGCTTTTGAAGAGTGGGTTAGAGTTGCTTAGTTTTAAATGGGAGGAACATGCATGTTATCTTGTCATTGACGGCCTCATATGAGGAAGAATCAGTTGAATAAGGAAAACCAACTCCAATTGGTGTAAAAAAAGACTTTTGCAGTCTTCAAAGTGATGTCAAGGAATAATGCATGAGATCCGGTGAGAAAAATCATGTATTTAACATAGAAGGCAAAAAGAAAATTGCTCAAATTTCTAAAGCAACTTAATGAAAAGCTCTATTCAATTGTTGAAAAGAAGGGCTACTATCAAACTCTTGGACTCTATATACTCAGAAGTTGAACCAGACAACACGCTAATTCAATTATTTGAATAGTGAGTTAATCCATACGATCATAAGTTGTATAATAGATAACTAGAAAAAATACCTAGCTGATGCAAGGTTTCAACTTCATCAATGATGGCCTTAAACTTGTCGGAATCAACCTTTGAAATATCATCTCTCTCATCTGCGACATTCCACCCGTACACAACATTAATACCAATAATTAATCCAATTAATTCCAGAAAAAGACTCCAATTCAACCCCCCCCCCAAAAAAAAAAAAAAAAAAAAAGCAAAAACAAATTTTGAAAATAGCTAAAAAATTACCGCTAATTCGGCTCTTGACAGTGTGGTAACGAGACCGAAGAAGTCTGCGTTCAGTGACTCCATCAGGTCCTGATTCGCTGCCGGTGGTAGTACCTGCTGCTGCTTCACCAGTATTCTCTACAATATTTCTTCTTCCCTCAAGTGGCTCCCGCTTTACGATTCGAGCCATAACTTAGAAATTGATAAGAATTCCACCAATTCCAGTGAAGATAATTTAGAAAGAATCAAACACCAGAGAGAATGAGAAAAGAGAGATGGGAGTAAGAGAATCTACGTGAGAGAAGTGTAAGAATTCGAAATCAAATAAAGTAAACAAAAACCCTAAAAAAAATTGAAATCTTGGAGCCAAAGGAAAAAAAGCCCCAATTTTGGGAGGACTGAAATCTCATTCAAAAGCAGCGCGCTTTTCCTTCATTTTACATGCCCCGACTTTTGAACAACGTATATAAACGACTCTCTGATACTTTTTCAGATTACATAAAGATGTTACTTCTATTTTTGGGAGAATCTTATTTTGTACCCTCAAAATTTAAGATTTTTTATTTTGTACCTTCAAATATTAGATTTCTCATTTGTACCCTCTTTTTAAAAAAAAAAAGATTATGTTGCTTAATCGATTAACAACTACACCATTGACGTTGAAACCATAAAAAATTTAAGCTTAAAATCTCAAATTCATTCCTTCTTTTTTTATTAAATCGGAGAGAATAATGTTATTTGAATTTAAAAATTTGACCTAATTTGTTGACATAATGATGTGGCTGCATAGAAATCATTGGATTAGCACCAAGTTCCAATATTTGATGGAGTCTGCAGTCAATTCAAATGTCACAGTAAATTAAGTCAATAAATTAAATCTCAATACCATTGCTCAATCGAATATGGGTAAATGATACCTTCATTGGTGATTTTCATTAGAAAAATCTAATAAAATTTGTCTATACCTTTGTAAAGGGCCATAATCAAACCGAGCTATTCGAGTTCGGCTCGTTCAAGCTTGACTCATTTTTTAAACAAATCGAACTTAAATAATTTAGAAAATTAGCTCGACTCGGATTCTGCTCGTTTTGAGCTCATTTTGTTTATTTTTTAAACGAGTCGAACTTTAATAATTTTTTTTAGGTCCGTTTAAAAAAACAACCTCAAAAAACTAGAGCTTGAGCTCGTTCAATTATCGACTCTATTTGTCTCATGAGATCACTTTGTTTTTTTTTCCAAAAAATTTATTAGGTGCCGATCTAAATTATCATCTAAATAATACATTTCATAAATCACATGAGCATCTCTTATTTTCGAAAAGTTACAAAAAATCACCCTAACTAAAGCTATTAATAGTAACGGTATAGGCTTATACCGATAAAAATTGATTTTTAAATGCCAAATTTTTCCAATTTTTTTTCTCTAATAGAAGGAAAGCTAATCCTAACCGACATTTTGATAATTTTTTTTAAAAATATTTTCTGAACTAAAAATAATAATTTCATCAAAAAATAGAGATGTATTGAATAACTATTTCACAAATGTTATTCAAATGCATGTTAGTGTAATAAACATACACTTATTAAATGTATTTGTAATGGAAAAAAAGTAATGCATTATATCTCTAAATTATATTTTAATAACATTAGTGAAAATAAAAATACTAAACAAACAATAAATCAAAACGAAAAATATATGAAAGATCACATTATCCGTGAGATTTATAGCTCAGCGGTGTAGGGTTAAACTTTGACGAATCCTAAACCTATACGTTAAGAGTTCAACCCTTATTTGTGTCTTTTGAGCATTAATGATATCTATAATTTATGAATAGTTATAAATATTCGAGATTTATTCTTGCATAGATGGATTCAAATTAATTATACCATAGAGGGGTTCCCGTAAAATAAAATAAAATAACATAACTTAACTAGCCAACGAACAAAATACATAAACCATCAAAATTAAAATTTTGAATTTTTAAAATTTTCTAAACGGCTTGATTTTTTATTTTTTTTTATCGAAAAACGGCTTGAATTAGCCACCTGTTACATTTACATTTTACATTCTCTCCCACCATCCAAATATGACCCCATCACTTTCACCAAATTACAGACCACTATTAAATTATATCTGTCATAAGGAAAAACACAAAGGGCAATCTGGGCAAGTAATTTATTCTGCATTATGCCAAAACCAGAGTCCAGATCAGACGCAACAGAGAGCTTCACTCCAGCTAAGTTCACGGAATCTCCGCCGCCGCCCACCCCCCTTCCCTCTTCTTCAGCTTCAACCCTCAAATATAAAGTTCCACACACACCCCCACACCGATAAAGAGAGACACAACAGAGAGATTAACAATCAATTGGGGTTTTTGAATCAAACCCAAATCACATCTGTCTCTGTTTCTCCTGCTCTGGTACAAATCGATTAGGGTTTTTGCAAGTTGCAATTCAATCACAGCCCCATAACCCAAAAATGAAAGCTTCACTCAAATTTCGTGAAGACCAAAAACCCTTGTTCCGAGCCAAAGTCCCTCTAAACATCATCGGCTTTCCGTTCCAATCCGGAATCGTCGCCGGCGAACCCAAAGAGCTCTCGTTGAATCTCAGCACTTTTTTCGATTCAGGCCCATCGTTCAAATTCGCTTACCGTCCCAACGACACTCTCAACCCTTTTAGTCTCAACTTCAAAATCGGTATTGGTCATTTCGGCTCTCCGATTTCTAGCCCCATGACCATGAGCGCCGAGTTCAATTTCATTGGAAATCAAAACCCTAGTTTTTTCGTCCACTTCAAGCCCCAATTCGGAGATTTCAGTATTAAACAGTCGATATCTTCTAATTTCAGGAAGAAAGTTGAGACCAAATCAAACGGTGTCGTCCCGACTGAGGATAATTCAGTGGAGCTTGTGGAAACTCCGGCGATCACAAATGGGTACTTGTCGGAGAATACTGTGTCATCTGGGAGCAATATTATTGTTTTGCCGTCGGACTCTCCGGCGTCCCGGGTGGTGGAGAGAGTGTTTCCGGGTATGGAGGTGAGTACAAGGACGGCGTTGCCGCTGAAAAATCGTGCGGTGGTGAATTTCCGGTGGGGTGTCAGATTCCAGGCGCATGAAGAGATGGTGGTGGTAGGGAAGAGCGAACGGACGGCTGGGATTTCGCTTAAGAGGTTCCCACTTCTTGTGATGAACAAAATCGGGATCGAACACGTGGCAAAAGATGAGTCGAAGGAGAGTAAAAATGTGGGTCCCAGTTTGAATCCTGCTGGAAATAGTGACGTGGCAGAGGCATGTTTGGTTATGAGGAAACAACTTGAGGCTATACATGCTGAGAATCGGATGCTTAGGAAGGCCATGGATGATTTAAGATCGGAAATTTTCACGGCGAAGCCCGGTTCATCTGGCGGCGGCATTGAGAGGGGGAAGAAGTACAGGGAAGGGGAGAGAGAAGGGGTTGAAAACTCGGGTGGCGGCGGCGGTAGAGTTGATCGGAGGAGCAGTGGTGATAAGAAAACATCCCAATTGAATGGTTTTGGCGGGAAGGCCGCGGAGGTGGAGGCGGAAGAGGAGTTGAAGAAGGCGTTGATGGGTGGTGCTGGTGCCTGAATTAGACGCCATTGCTGGAGATGTAAGAATTAGGATGCCCTGTGAGGTATCAGTTTTGGTTTAGACACATTTTGAGTGTGTCTTGTTTTGGTTTAGAGTATAGTTTATTTTGTTTTGTCATGTAGAAAACTATGGTTTTGTACATTGTTTTTGTAGTAAGGGTGTGTTTGCAGTTTGGACATATTTTTGTGGTAATGTTTGGGTTCATAGTTACAATCCTTTTTTAGGTTATTGGATGCTTATTGGGCATTGTATTTTCTCCGGGTCCAATTGGATGGGGTCACCCTAAACTTATTTAATATGAGTAATGTTATTTAGTCCTAATTATTAATAATAATCGGATGTTACTGAGTTTGTAAAGGACACCTTGATATTTGTTGTGATTTTGTAATTAATTAAATGGTTGTAAAAGATTAGATCAACAAATTATATTAGTAAATTAAATTTTAGAATTAACATTGGTAAATTTTGATGAAATGAATAAATTGAAACTCAATTAAAAATTTTAAATTGATTATTGTAATGAGAACTTCAAAGACCAAATAAAAATCATGTTCAAACTTTTAAGGGCATGAGGATAATTATACATAGTATTGAGAAATGTATTCCTTACATTTTTAATATCAATGAAAATTAGTACAAGTAATTGAAAATATTTCAAATTTTTTTCATGTTTGTTAGTTCAATAGGTATTATGGTGGGTTCTACAAATAACCATCTATTGTATCATATCTTGTATAACAAATATACAATTTTACCCTTAACATCATTCATTTTATTACTCCGTTTGTATAACACTTTTGCACAATATTTGGTATAATAAATGGTATAACAATTTGTACGCTTAAACATAATATAAGTAAAAAATTCAAAATAATTTTTTTTTAAAAATAAAAAAAATTGGTGACATCGTACACTTAAATATAATACAAGAAAAAAATTTAAAATTAAAATTTTTTAAAAAAATTAATAAAATTTAAAAATAAAAAATCGTTGGTGGCCAAATCTCACATCAACATGGAAAGGTTGAAGGATAATTCAGCCATTAACCTTCTTAATATTGTTGGTGGCCAAAACTCAAAAAATATAAGCCCATGTAAATGAGTTTCGGTGGCTGTAGTCAGCGGGTAGGTATTGCAATCCGAAAAATAGCACAGTACGAAAAAAGACAAACAAAAAATGTACTAGTGGGTCTCACATTCTATTTTTCCTAATTTTACCTCCTTATACCACTATTACCCTTCAAGCAAACATGCGCTAAGAGCTTTGTTTGAATAAATTTTGAGGAAGAGTTTGGATTAGTTTCTTCAAACTTTTTCCAATTCAAACCCTTTTTTGCAAAAATCAGATTCAATATTCAATCGGGTATATACTCAAATTTGATATGTAACAAATACAAATATAAAACCCACAGATATATTATAATTACTAACAATTATTTGTCCTATAAATAACTATTTTACCTTGATCAATTTAATTCACACCCATATTAAGGGATACAATTTCTTTTAGATCCTTAACCCTTACCCATCTTCTTAAACTTACATTTCTCCTAAGTTTGACGAAACTCATGATTATGAGTTTAATTTTTGGGCCAGCTATGAGCCAAGTTTGAAAACCCAAAATTGAATTTTCCAAACAAACAAAGAATTTGGGAGAACTTTAAATTATTTTTTTCAAACTCATCTTACCTCTCCCTCGTGTCCCCTTGTCAACACAACCCCTAAGGGTATAGATTATAATTTACTCTTTTAAGACCGACTTAGAGGTGACAATCTTAAACTTTTACCTATTAATCTACCCAACCCATCCATAAATAAATGAGTTTGATACGTATATTAATTAATATTGGTTCTAAATGAGTTAGATAATATAATTCATTTTAATTAAGCGACTTAATATGGATTACCCATTGAGTTGAATATTTATCTTTTTAATAAATAACACAAATAATAAAATTAAATAAATATACTAACATACCAAAAAATACAAACACTATTACACCAAAAAATAAACACATATAAACTAATACACCAAAACATATACACACTAATACACCCACCAATGACCCACATGTTTGACCCATAACCCATGGGTCGACCCATGACACACGAATCAATCCATAGCCCATAATCAACCTCGACTCATTATGTGTGTATTTTTTTTTTATTAAATGTGTTTTAGTTTTTGTGTTATCATGCATGTGTGTATTTTTTGTGTATTAGTGTATATTTTTGTGTATTAGTGTGTATATTTTTAGTGTATTAGTTTGTGTGTATTTTGGTGTATTAGTGTGTGTGTGTGTGTATGTTTGTATTTTAGTGTATTATTAATGTGTGTATGTTTTGATGTACTAATGTGTCTATTAAAAAATTTAATTATTTTATAGGTTAATCGGTTTAACCCAACACGTTAATAACTCAACCCATTATAACTCATTTACTACGTAAATAAAAAATTAATTAGATTTAATTTAGTCCGACCTAATTTAACACAACCCATAACTAATCTAACCCACCCATTTGTCACATCTAAGACTGAACACATAGATTACCTACCTTGAGCAGGACCGCTAGTAAATGGGCCTGGTAATGGATCAGACTGATCGGTCCAAAGCAATTAATCAGATATGAACTATAATTTTAATTTGATAATTCGAATCTGTCTAAGTTATTGTAATAAGATTTGAATGTGAATATATAGCAATTCGTTATTAATTTGATCCAAATATATAAAAATAAAAATAATATATAATATTTATAGTAAAAAGACCGTAACACTAGAGTCAAAGAACCAAGGCATCTTTTGACCAATGTTCCCATTTCCATTTTCTTTCCCACTTTTACTTTTTTTCTCTCTTTCTTTCATTTTTTTATGGTCTTCTCTTTTTGCCTCTTCTCTTTCTACAGATTCTTCAAACCTCTCTCTCTCTCTCTCTCTCATAAATTGAGTACTATAGGAAGAATAATGTTATATAGATTTAAAAAATAGATCGAATAATCACAACTATTGAATAAGTAGTGAGTCCTAATAAATGCTAGGACTCATAATAAAATTAGTAATTGTAATTATCAAATCTACTTTTTAAGTCTAATTTTTAAATTAATGTAGCATTATTCTTATAGAAATATTTTGATGAATTTATTTTTATTTTTATCTTAATCAAACCAGATCGAATCGCATTGAAATGAATAAATTGTAATCGAATTAAATTCAGATTTATGAGAATTCAATCCATATCCGATTTGTTTTTATGATCTTTTGGGCTATCCCTCTTACTTCACTTTGCATATATAAATGCAATCACTTAAACATGTTTATTTTTTTGAAGATTTCCGTGTCCACAACGATCTATTGGGTTACAAGAAAACTAAAGATGGAAATTTGGGTAGGGACTTTACAAATGTGTTCGGTTACATTCTATTTCCAACTCTAAATTTCTTTGAAAAAAGCATAAATATTTTTCCTTCCTTTTTTCTTGTTCTTTATCGCTATATTTTTAGGTTGTCGTTAAAAATATTTGTCTGAGCAAGTCATATTTTCAATCTCATCACAATCTTCTCTTTCTCTTTTCTCCGTATTTGTTTTATTAAGTCAAGAAACTCTATCAAGATTGTAGATGGTAGGTAGTTGGTAAGAGGTATTGAATTTTTTTGACATGAACTTATTTCAACTAATACAAAACCATTTCACCCGACACAAATATTAAGGAGCTTATGCTTGTGACCTCACTTCATGGGTGTTGAGGTAAGTATTCAAGAAAATAAAAAAGAAATTAATGGGCAAAGTTTTCGAAATCGCAAGTAATGATTTTACATATTCTATATCAAAACTAACAGATTATTTAGATTTTGAAGGTGAAAATAAAATTTCCTTGCTAAACTACTTATATCAAGACTTTTACCATAACAAAATGTGTGTCCGTATTAAAACCGATAAATACCAAAGTTTTTAAAATATCATGTGTCCATCACCACCACGTCTCTTATCGAAAAAGATGTTACATTGTTTTGTCTAGCTAATCTAATTTCTCCCACAAAAGATTGAATTATTATAGGAATTTTGAATCCTGGTCGGGTGACTCTGCCACGTGTGACGGCAAACAAAGGCCACCGATGTTATGATTCAGATTTTTAACCCAATGGAGAAGAGTACGGTATTGAAAAAAAAATTTGGCAATTGGCATCCTACAGTCAGTTTTTATGAGTTTATAGGATTGAGATATAAATTTTAGTATTTGTTTATAATAAAAAAATTTGGGATCCATCTTAAAATATTAAATATCAACTTTCAAATTTTTTAATTTTTGGGTTATATTCCAAATTTTAGGGGGCCAAGTTATAATTTTTGAAGATATTTAGGATTAATTCTAAAATTGTTAGCATCGATCCCAATAATTTTAAAATCAATTCTAAATAACCTCAAAAATTATAAATAAATTCCCAATTTTGTAAACAAAAAAACTAAAAAATTGCCATCTGTACATTTTTTTTGGGATCTCTCATATGTACATGATGGTACAATATTAAATTATTATTTTTTTCAATACCGTAGTCTTCTCCGAGGTCTGTTTTGTTAGGGAAAAAATGATGATATAAAGTCAAATGAAGTGAAGGAAAAAAAATAAAAAAATATATTTTTTTATTTATGTATTTGATTATAATGAAAAACTTGCAAGAAAATTTAAATTGAAAGAAAGGAAACTTACAAATTTTTTTTTTTAATTGTCTAAATTATCATTTATTTATATTAAATAGGTCTAAAAAAGAAAAAATATTTATTATAATTAAAAGTTCAAAAACTTTGAAAAAATGGCTCCTAACCTAATTTTGAAACAAGGATTGTCCGAACCCAAATTTTTGAACTAGATTATATGGTTAACTTAATCCATACCGATTTTTTTCAAATTTAATAACCAATTGAATTTTTTCAAAAAATAAGAGTAAAATAAAAAAATAGAATTAGATCATAATTTTTTTACTTTTTCTTGTATTTTTTGCAAGAAAAAAAATTGATTAGTTGTGATATAATCTAAGTACAAAAAAAAAATTGAAAATTTTTGCTTTCTTTTAAATTTTTATCATTATCCCCCTGAGAAAACCACACGTACATCAAGTATTTTGGTCAATACTGCACCGAATCATCACCAAAAAAGAAAAAGTAATTTTAGAAACTAAGTAGGGTCAATACGGTCATCTAACACAACAAAATGCCTAGTACTCATGCACAGGTCATACATGCATGACCCGCGAGCCGACGCTATATAATCAGAGAGAATGATCCAAACTTCTAGACCAGACCTTTGAGAACCGTAAAAATGGAGGAATTGCAGATAATATAACAATTAAGAAACATAAACTGACCTTTGTTAATGGAAAAACCGGACGGAACTTTAGAGACACAACCGGAGGCAAAGTGGGGGACGTGGGAAGAGCTGTTGCTTGCGTGCGCCGTTAACCGGTACGGCACCGATAGCTGGGACTCCGTCGCCGTCGAAGTCCAGAAACGGAGCTCTACGTCCTCCACCCTCAACCGTCTGTTAACGCCGTCTAACTGTAAACGGAAATATCACGACCTCAAACGGCGTTACACGACTCCCACAGACCCAAACGGCGACGATTTTGAAGATGGTGATGACAAAAGGACACAGACGATTCCTTGGCTTGATGAGTTGAGAAAACTCCGAGTCGCTGAACTCAAACTTGAACTCGAACGTTACGATCTCTCCATCGTGTACTTCTCAGATCCACCGTTTCATACATATGTATTTTGTATAGGAATATTTACAGCTATTATGGAAGATCTGTGTCAAATCTACTGTTTTGAGTTTTTGAAGGATCTGAATCGAAGATTTGATCTGGGTGTATATGTCTATTGTTCAGGTCTTTGCAATCGAAGGTGAAGAGATTGACAGAAGAGCGAGAACAGAGTTTGAGAGAAAGTGGAAATGAAGAAGAGAGATCAGATCTGAAAAGTGTAGAGACAGAAAGTGCTGAGGACGAGAAAAGCCAAAGCGATAATGAACCGGAGAAGTTATCACCGGGATCTGGCGCTAGGAAACCGGTCTCCGGCGAGGAATCCGGCCGGATGAACCAGTCGGTGGACGAATCGAATTCTACCGATCCAAAGGAGGAGGATTTGAAAACCGTGATAGAACGTGCGGAAAAAGGAAATGAACCGGATTCAGGTCCGGGTCGAACCGGAAGCCTGAAGCCGGTTCGGGAGGACTCGTGTAACGGAAGCTCCGAAAGTGTGGATAAAAATCCGGTTTTGGAGTCAGTGAAGGTTGAACCGGTGAGTGACTCGGCCGAGTTGTGCGAATCGGTGGCTGAGTCTGAAGATGGCGAAGAAGAGGGAGCAAAAGAGACATCCGATGTCCAGAGTTCGGCGAGTAAATCGATGAAAGAAGGAAATGATAAGCTGCTCTGCGGAAGTAGTAGCGCCGGTGAGCGTGAAAATGAGGGCAAATCCCTAGCCGTTGAAGGAACTTCTGTTGAATCTCCTGCGCTTGTTGATTTCTTGGAAAGACTTCGGAACCACAAGCTTGGCTCGGTTTTTTACAGCCGGCTCGAGAGCCAGGTAAATTTATTCTAATTTTTTCATTTTTAGTTGAATAATAAGAGGATGAGTACGGTAATTAGGAAATGCCCTACCAAGAGTTATAATTACAATATAAATTAATATTTAAGTGATTATAAAATATTAGAATTGATTAAAAAAAAATTAATTTATACATTTTGTGGACATAAAATTGTAACCGGTCATTATTACTTATGCTCGATCATCTTTAATAATATCTTTGTTTGTATAACTTTATGGTAATATTATTGTAGTACGGTATCAAAAATAATATTGGCAGACAAGTTTTGTGGCAGGGGTTGTTAAATCTTGATCCGTCAACACGAGCCAAATCAGACATAAGGATCTGATTTGATATAATTATTAAATATACATAATAAATAATTTAGACTAATAATCTAATTAACAATGATATGATACAAAATTACTGACACATGGGTCCCACTATACGGATTGACAGCCCTGAGTTTCGGTGGCAACAAAAGGCTAATTGATCAGTTTCTGCACGTCGATAGCAATTATGTGTTATGTGATCAGATTCAGAGTCATTTATACACCACCAACTTTTAACACCGAACGATGTTCGATTCCGATATGTGGTTGATATGGTTGAATCTGGACCATATGATTTTGATCGTGTGATTATGTTAACTATGCAAATTAGTTGGGCCATATGATTTTTGTATGGGTATATTTTGTTACCTTGTATTTTGATTAACTAGTAGCCTTCGTTTTGGGTTGTGGCATTAATGAGAGCTTTGTGTTGCGTTGGGATGAGTTATATGAAATTTGAGCCATTTTGGGTCCTTCCCTCCGGCTGTTGAGTGTCATTTTAAGTAACCCGTTGGTAATAGGAACGAGATGAGCTGTAAACTTAGAAGATATGAGTTCAAATCTTGATGACTATTTCCTCGTGAATTCTCTAATTTCAACATGGATGACCAATCTTTGACAGGATTAACAAAGAGATTAATCGAGGTGCACGTAAGTTGGTCTGGACACCTCTAATGGTTAAACCAAAAAAAAAAAAAACAAAGCAATTTTAATGGATATAATCTCGGCAATAATAATCAACTAACAGTCCAGTGTTTAATTTTGAATGAGTAAAGATAAGGGAAGAATGAGATAAATATAAAAATGAGAGACAAAAATTAAATGCGTTACATGTAATTATAAGTAGTTAGGAAGAGAGAAGGAATAAATTATAAGCAATGAATGAGTAAGATAGATATAAAAATGAGAGAGAAATTAAATGAGTTATGTGAGGAAAAAATCTATTACCTCAAGTTGTTAGAATTTGATTGAGAAATAAGAACGTGGAATAAATTATAAGCAATGAAACGAGCAAACTGTCAGAGACTAGGGTTGAACTGATCAGAGGCGGTATGTTCGCTAATTGGAGAGAATTGTGTACCTTCAACCTAAGCATTTGCCCAATATTTATATTGTCAGTTTCTCGTCCTTACTTTGAGATTTCTTTTCTTCAGCCATATTAGATGGCATATCTATCATAACGGTCTCAATTTTCTCTCTTTTTGACTTCATCTCATCCAGTTTTTCTTACATGTTTATAATATATTCCTACAAATCTACCGGACTCTTTTCCCACGTTTTCCTCAGGATTATTGCTTGGTTCACTCGACCAAACATTACTCTGTTTATTTGACTGAGCATTGGTGGTTATATGGGCTTTATGGTTGGTGCTAGTTTGATTCGGCCACGTGTTCCTTCAGACTTGGTCAACCACCGTGCAGTCATTTTATGCTCTTCTGGTTATATGTAATTATAAGTAGTTATGGGTAGTTAAGACAGGAAGAGATAAGGAATAAATTATAATTATAAGCAACTAAGTGTATGGATTGTTGAAATAGGAAGAAAGGAGGGGGTATTATAGGTATTTCAAATGAGGACACCAAATCCCCTCTTTTCCTTAATTAACATTACGCATATATTAGTTCATGTACCAGCCTGGACTTGAGCCTTCTAATTTTACCAGGCCCCCTCCCCCAACCAACCAAAAATAAGATTTAAAAAATGTACTTTTTCAATTGACTGAAGCTTGCCTAGTTGACCACCCTAGCAAGCCACTCCTACTTCTTCTACCCCAGGGATCAGAGGATCAAGCCTCTTTGTCTTTTGACAAGAATTGATCTATTATCCCTCACTTCAAATCTTTAGTCTTCCTCTCGAGCCTCTCTTGTGGGAGAAAATATTGAATGTAACAGTAATACAACGTCATCACCACTACTTAGTATTACCATCCATTAAGAAAACAAGTAAGTAAGTAGATCTCATAGAATTTAATAGCTAACCCTCCATATAAGCTAATAACTAATTCATGTCAAATGGTGGGCTACACTTCATCCATTTAGTTGTGTTTTTATTAGATGGTGACAGTATGTGACAGTATTACAGTAATACTGATGCATTTATTTAATATTTACTCCACTTGTGGGTCCTTCTTTTAGTGTTTATTGTAAACATGATACATTGTACTTAATAATTTGTGATAATACTGATGCTTTTATTGTATTTAAATTGAAAATGGTTCTTTTCCATTAGATTTAGTAACATTTCACGGAAATAATTAAGGGCACCCCCCCCCCCCCCTCTCTCTCTGGGAGAGAGCAGCTGCTGACCTATTAATATTTCCCATTTGTCTGCCTTCATCATATACTTTGGGAGGGTGGGTGGGTGGACTTTTAGGTACCAATCATCCTCATGGAGATTGTACGGAGAAAGTTGTAGATATTGGACACAACTTTCTCCATATATTATAGGTGACAGTGTAGTTTGGTGCTTTCATATTTTCTTCCCTCTGAGAAAAACTTTTCATTTAGCACATTAGTACTATATTAACATGATTGTATTGAATACTTGGAGTTGTTCTGTAGCTGTCTTAGGAGAGAAAAAATGATTACAAAAAATGAATGAAATTTGGAGGAGTGTGAGTTAATGTTAGAACAAGAACAACTAAAGCAGAGGCTACAAGCATGGGGCTGGGAATTTCATTTCTGTCTATGCTACATAGTTTCTTGCTTCTCAATGGTCGAACATTTTTAGCTGGGTTGAGAAGTTGCCTTGTAATTAGTCTAGTTCCAACTGCTTGTTGGAAATGGTTTCTAAAGGCTGTCACACTTTTATCACCAGTTTAGATCTTTCAAGGTTTCCAACAAAAATGTGCCATGTATGTCCAATGCCAAAATATACTGATATGAGTTTGATTGGGTTGTTCGGAACTTGTCAATCATTCAGTTCACTTTCATTTGCTCCCGTTTCATGAAAAATTTACCATTCTCAATGCCAACGGAACATTCCATATTCCGACTTCAGCAACACTCTTTCCACTTATGATGTAGAAACCACTTACACTATTGCTTTTTAATTTTGCAGGAAACGCCACACTACGGGAATTTGATTAAGCAGCATATGGATCTTGAAACAGTACAAACAAGGCTTGAAGAAGGTTGGTACGCAGACTCCAAAAATAAGTTCTATCGTGATCTACAGCTTCTTGTCAACAATGCCATTGTCTTCTTCAGCAAGGAGTCCTCAGAATTTGTTGCTGCCGTTGAACTTCGGCAGCTTATTTCAAAGGAGAAGATTCAGAGTAATGTCGAGTTGGATTTGCCGGCTGAAAAGCAAACTTCAGTGCCACTGGTATCCTTGCCTTCAAAACATGATGCCGAACCTTCTGATTCTTTTCTCCTAAAACCAAAGTTATCAGGACCATTGATAGTTTGTCGGAAACGTAGCTCAATTGCTGCAAAAGCATCAGCATCATCTTCAGAAGGCGATCCGAAGAGGGAGCAAACAGCAGCTTTGGCTGAGGAAAAACCAGTTCTGGGTTGGAAGAAGCCTAACAAATCCCTTGTTAACGAAGAGGAACATAAAATCACAAAGAAGAGATCCAGTGATAGATTTGCTTCAGGTTCAAAAATCTCAAAGGGAAACAGCAAGACTCGAACCAACACTAACCCCAACAAGAATTTAGAGGCAAATTCCGATCAAAACCAAGTCAAGGGCAGGTCTTCTGGAGAGCATTTGGATCCTAAAAGTGAGAAGAAGAACAACCCAACAACCAGTGATGTGAAGAAGCGAAGCGCAGCTAACTTCTTGAATAGAATGAAGCGAGGCTCATCCTCAAACAATGGATTATTACTAGAAACATTGAAGAGCTCACCCCTTAGTGCCGAAAACAATACCAAAGGAGGATCTGAGCAGAAGAGGAATGGCAATGGGAAGGGCGATGGAAGGAAAGACCAGGTCCCTAAAAGGACTTCGGGAGGGAGGCAAGTGAAGCAGCAAGGCAGCCCGGCAAAGAGGAGTGTCGGGCGGCCATCAAAGAGAGCAGCTGCTCCACCTCCACCTCCACCTCCTGTGTTGGGCAAACGGAACAGGGAACGAGTCGAAACTGAAGCAGTGACTTCGAAACAGCCAAAGAAAAGATCAAGGAAGTGATAGCTTATTTTGTAAAATATTCTGTTATACCTCATGGTGTTTTATCAATATGTATTTTTGGCCATGGCATTTTCGATTATTTTCTTTTGCTTTTGAATTCTACCCTGATTCAGTCAGCGTAGCAGGTCGATAATCGATTTATTTTCCTGTTTCCCAAGGCAGAGGGAGTGATTACAGTTGATCCAATACATTTTGTTAGAGAATGCAGCTAAAGCAGTAGTAACTACTTATCCGTTTAAATGATAGTGGTGTTTGTTTGACAGGATTAGTGGGGATTAAGTGGGGGATTGAATTAAAATTATCTTAGGGCCCACATATTTTGGGAATGTAAAAATGGATAGGATTTTCTTAGTCTTTCAAATCTTCGGCCCGTAGTGTTGCACTCTAGAATCCCTCTGATCTACTGTTGTAACCCATTGAGGTGGTGTTTGGATCAACGTGGAGGATTGGATTTGAATCTGAACCCAATCTTATTCAATTCAAAATAATTCGGATTGGCGGATTATAAGAATAGGATTTAAATTTTATCCCATCTTTGAATAAATTTCATTTGGTTTATGGGTCCTATTTACATCTGATGGTATAACATACAAAAATAACTATTTCACCCTTGTGTAAAAAAATGTTATCCAATCTTATACCATATTTGTCACGGAATGAAAAAAAGTTCAATCCATTAGTATTATCTTATTTACGAAAGAAAAATATGAATCAATAAATTACGCATTTTTACAAAAATTTGCAATAAAAAATTTGTTTATTTATTTAATTAATTTGTATAATACTTTTTTAATCACAAAAATCATTGTATTAATAACGTGCTAATGTTTATTACTTTTTTTTTGAAAAATACGAAGTCAAATTTTTTTTTTTTATGGTGGTTTGGTTGGTGATGAGTTGCTAGTTATTGGAGTCAAAATCCAACCCGAGAAAAAGAAAAAAATCGAAATCTAGTCCAAACCTCCAATTACAAATAAAAAAGACTAAAATGCAAAGTGGGTCAAGTGCCTCAAACCCATCAAATTCTTCATTGAACCCAGCTCCCGTGTAATCACACATACCCCCTCCATCCTCCATGCGAGTAATAATTTATAATATAAAACAAGGCGACTTCAAGAAGTTCATCTTACGATCTTAAATTCATTTATTTAACGGTCAAAAAATTACTTTTTTCTTCCCTTAATATTTCCCCTCCCCCCAACCGGTCAACAATTACGGCTAATTTTGGACACATCATACGATCTCAAATCATTCATCCAACGGTCAAGAAATTATCATTTTTTTCTTTAATATTTCCCTCAATCAGTCAACGATTACAACTGATCTTGGAACACAGGATTTTCTTTGACATAATAATTAAATGAGTCAAATTTACCATTAATATCATTTGTGTAATGTAACATATTGAATTTTTATAAGACACATTAATGACATTTTGATTAAAAAAAACTCATCAATTTAACAAATAAAAAAAAACAAGGGCACTATTTAACACATTTATATTGAATATAATTAATTTTATTTTATATATTTAATTAATTATCTCAAACCAGCATGTCTTACACGTATCTTGAATCAAAAGTTCAAAACTAATTTTTTTTATCTTTTAAGAAAATCCAAAGCTAATATATTCTTATCTATAATATAAAACAGGGCGGCCTCAACAAACTCATCTTACGATCTTAAATTCATTCATCCAACGGTCAATAAATTACCCTTGTTTTTCCTTTAATATTTCTCCCCCCCCAAACTGGTCAACAATTACGGTTGATTTTGGACATATCCTACGATTTCAAATTCATTTATCCAACGGTCAAGAAATTACCATTTTTTCCTTAATATTTTCTTCCAATTGGTCAAATATTACGGCTGATCTTGGAATACATGATTTTCTTTAACATAATAATTGAATGAGTCAAATTTTCCATGAATATCATTTGTATAGTATAACATTTTGAATTTTTATAAGACACAGTAATAACATTTTGATTAAAAAAAATCATTAATTTAACAAATAAAAAAAACAAGGGTACTACTTAACACATTTATATTGAATATAATTAATTTTAATTTTATTTATTTAATTAATTATCTCAAATTAGCATGTTTTACACGTATTTTAAATCAAAAGTTCAAGACTAATTTATTTTATCTCTTAAGAAAATCCAACGCTAATATATTCTTATAAATTAATAATTTTGCAATAACTTGTACTAATTAAAAAATAATATTTTATAAATGATATTTATAGAACTTTTTTTGATAGAACATATTTGGCGATATGTTTTTTTGATAAATTAGACTTTTAATTTATATTAGATTTGACTTGATTTTGATTACATGTATATAAATTAATGTTTGATTTTGATTACATGTATATAAATTAATTTTTTTAAGTCAATTCTATCATATTTCGTGAATTTATCTATAATATAAAACAGGAAAGACTTTAATAAATTCATCCGACGGTCTCAAATAAAGTCATCCAACGACCACCAACATCGCTCTAAAAACTATTCAGATTGAATTTTACCTTCATCTTTTCATCCTTCACTCTCTCTCTCTCTCTCTCTGGCAGTGGCGGGTAGAGGAGGGGTCTAGGACCACCCTGAATTTTATTTTTTAGTTATATATGTTTTATATATTTTTTTGGATATTCTTAATTGAGTCTGCTGTAATGATTTATGAGAAAAAAATTAATTGAATCAAAAAAGTTGGGTACTAGAAAAAAAATAAAAAGTCTATACCAAATCTCTTAAACTTAGCAAACTAAATTTGATTCCATAGAGTATTGGTATGATTTGTTGGAACTTCATTTGGTTCAAAAATTATGAAATATATAGCCAAAAAATGAGTAAAATATTGAATTTGTAAGAAGATTATATATTATAGAATATTACTTTTATTTGTGTCAAATCTATAATATTAAATAGGACAGATTTCAACAAGTCCATTCGACGATTTTAAATAAACTCATCTAACGGCCTCTAATATCCTTCTCAAAATCATTCACATTGAATTTCTATCCTCCCAATGTCATCCCTTTTCAATTGTGTTACACCGTGCCTTTAGATACGAGTTAACCATAGTCTTCCACAAAGCAGCCGAAGCCGAAGGCCAAGGATCTCAATAAGATAGAGAGATGAGTAAGGAGGAGAAGCAAAAGTTGGGAAAGGTCCTTGCCATTGGGTTGAACTAGTTGTTTCACCAACATTAACAAGCAGGTAGGAAAAAAAAAAAGAAGAGATAAAGAAAGGCCTGTAAGCAAATAATATCTAATCCAACATCATGCATTCTTACTGCTGAGGTCCATACCACACAGACAACAATAGACGAAGAAAGGGGAGAGGGAGAGAGAGAGAGAGGACGAGTGGGTGAAAATGAAAGTGAAATGGAGAGTAGATAAAACCCTAGAAAAATCACTATGGAGGCTTTTTTTTTTTGTAATTTTACACTTAATCCTACCCACTAACTTCACAATCCCAAACTTTTCATGGGTTTCAACTATCCAGCTTAGAGAGGATAAATGGGTTGAAACACTACGGACGATTTTTTCATTCACAACGAAAATCCCATCTCATTTTTCCTAACCAAACCTGGGATATGTGGCCCCTTCACAATTTTAACTCAATCCTCCCTCTAATCCCCCCAAATCCGGCCACCCAAACACCCCCTAAAAGTGTGGGATTGTGAATTTTTCAGCTGGATTAGTTCCGAATTTACTAAAACACCCCTACAATAATGAGTGCCAAGCTCCTTTTCTCTCTCCCTTTCTTTGTTAATTGTTCATGTGTGTTGCTGTGTCAAATGGAACCCCTCATCAGCCTTGGCCTAAAGGAGATCTGCTCATATGAGTGGAGCAGATCTGCTATGTCTCTCTCTCTCTCACAGTTTTTGATCTCTGGATTTTCATCTCCGTCCCACACTTGGGTGTTTTGGGTTGCCATGGTAGATGGAATGTGTCCTGCATGTTTAGAGGAATCGACAGTTATGTTATTGAGCAATATGATATTGTTCATAGTTTTGTTTTTTTTTTTTTTGAACAGTCATAGTTTTGTTTAGTTGATGATAACAAGGAGTACTCTAGAATAAAAAGAGTAATATACATGTCTGTGTATTTTTTTGTTGTATTCTTTTTCGGCTAATAGGATTTTCAGATGACATTTTGTTTTTAGGTTTTTCTGTGGTGTTGAGTCTCATTACATCTTAAATTTTTAAAATTTTATGCTAATCTATGTGTTTCCTTATAAATGAACTCAAAAAAATTAACATCCTAATTAAAGCAACATATTTTAAATTGACCTGATTTGTGCTATTAATTCATACAATAATATTAAGATGCCTTAAATGCAATTCATGGAAAATAAATTGTATTTCGGTCATTGAAAAAATTTAAAAAGGTTCGGATTAATTTTGCACAAATTAAATTAAATAAATGAACAAAATATTTATTACAATATTTTATAAAAATGCATAATTTATTGAATCATTTTTTTTTTCGTAAATAAGACAATATTAATGGATTAGATTTTTTTCATTTCATTCCAATCAGGGTATAGAATTGAATAACATTTTTTCACACAAAAATGCAATAGTCATTTTAGTATGTTTTATCTTCATATGTGAATGAGACCCACAAACAAAATAAAACCTATCTAAAGATGAGATAAGATTTGAATTCGAACTTTATAATCTTTAAATCCGGACCACTTTATATTGGATTGGATTGAGTTTGAATTCTAATCCAATCCTCCCATGGTGATCCAAACACCACCACATGTGGGTTCAAATTTAAGAAGCAGTCTTTATCCGCCCTAGGGATTATAACTATTTATAGCATCCAATCATAAATGGCAGTCTTGTGAACTGTATCTGACATTCTGTGATTTGATTTAGCAGAGTGGCAAACGTTGAATCAGTTTGAAAAAGCAATTTGATTTTGGGTCTTGTTCTTAGCTGATACTTCCAACAGTTCAAATAAAAAAAAAAATGTGACTTTA